AATTTTTACTCAATTCTCTTCTCATTCTGTTTCTTTTGCCCACACATATAGGAGCAGGTGTTTTGAGAATAAAATCTCAGGTTTCTGCTCTGAATTAATTTTACATTCATTCTTAGATAACTGTACAGCCCCCTTTGTAGTTAAAAGTTGGAGTGCCATGCTTGACAGCTCCAGCTATGAAACAGCTCCCACTCCCACACAGCTGTCTCTTCTGCATGTACCCAGTGGCTCTGGCCTCTGCCCCGCAGTGGTCCCAGCAAGGAGGCCAAGAGTCCTGCCTCCTGGGAGCACGGACTGGCAGCAGGGCTGGCTGTCCAGGACTGACTGAAGCTTGGCAGGTATTTCCCTATTGACTTGAAGACTGTTTGGCTTCTGGAAGGCAAGCTGCTCAAGGACTGGATGTACTGTGGGAGAAAGGTTTCCCAAAGGGCCTGCCCCCTGGAGACCAACTTCCATTTGGCTTAGCGGTGGAGAAGGGAAGCCTGGGCATGTGTGCAGACACCACCTCCTCCTAGGCCCGGGGAGGAGGGAGACAACTTTGCCTTTCCTCAGCCCACTGCTGATCTATGTCCTCCTAACACCTGCTCCTCATTCCCTACCAGCCCAGGAGGCAGCGTGGCCATGGAGGAGCAGAGGGAAGGGGGCAAGGCTGGTGGCTGCAGCGGAGGGATCCGGTGCGGCACTCACAGCACCTCCCCCGGGCCATCTGGTGCTCCGGCCCTTGCCGGAAAGGAGTGGGATGCAGGCAGTAGAGGAAAGGCTTATGGCCATTGCTTCATCTCCCTCCCTTCTCCACACCGCCCACCATGGGTAAGTGCCTGAGCCCTTACTTAGCCCATGGGTAAGTGCTGATAGAGCAGGTTAGGGGGGAGGCCAGTGCACAGTGGATTAAACATCCTTGGGTTGGTCTCGGCAAAGTCTAGACCTTAGGACAGGCAAAGAAAGACCATGATCATTCTTCTGTAGTTTTTCAGAGGGGCTTCTGAGCAATTCCGACTAAGGCAAGGGAGATGGGAGGCAGATGAGCTCAGATGAGCTGTCTGAACCTGGAAGGCTAGAGATGGGGTGGCAGCTCTATGGCTCCCCACTGGGGCAGACGGTGGGCCTCCCAGGGGCAGCCTGCGCTGCACTGTAGCTGGTGCTCTGGGATGCTTCTGCCAATCAGATCTGGAAGCACAGGCATGCAGCCAGCCCTGCGTCTGCACCAGCACGTGCTCTTGTGACGCTCTTCCCCGGGTGAGGCCAGACGCACATCTGGAGGAAGTCCAGGCCAGGACGTGCTGCTGGGCTGCCCCTGGCCATCACTCGTATTCTCTAGCAGCTCACTCCCACCCCCACTGCCCACCCAAACCTCACCTCCCAGATTCCACCCAGCAGGCTCACAACCATGCCTTGTCTCCCATCGCCCCTATCAGAATAGAGCCTGATTTGTGCAACAAGGGCCTCCCTCCTGCAGGAGAAAGGGGTGGCAGGCCTGAACATTAAGTCATTGAAGAGTAGAGAGGTGGGCTAATAGGCCTGAGCTGGCATGAGGCATCAGCAAAGCCACCGAGGCTGGTCCCTGGCCCTCTGCCTCTCCTTTAGAGAAATCAGACATTTGGGAAGTTAAGGTACTTTTCTCAGGACCCACATCCAGGGAGAGAAGAGAACAATCTTCCTGTCTTTTCCCTATCACTGGTACTGAATGGGCTTACATCCTAATGCCTCTGGCCTCCTGATCAGTGCTCCTCCTCACAGGGACGGTCTCTTGTGGGTGGTGAGAGATGTTCAGACCCCACAAGGAAACCCCTAGTGTTTTGCCACAATTTCAAACAGGGTAAATTATTCACCTGCCCTGAGCTCCAGGACCACAAAACTCCAGAAAGAAATGGCCTCACCACAAAGAGTGGCTGAGATGGCCTTGTTTGTTCTGAACTCTCCTCAAGAAGAGGAGGAAGATGGGGCGCCTGGGTGGCGCAGTCGGTTAAGCGTCCGACTTCAGCCAGGTCACGATCTCGCGGTCCGTGAGTTCGAGCCCCGCGTCAGGCTCTGGGCTGATGGCTCAGAGCCTGGAGCCTGTTTCCGATTCTGTGTCTCCCTCTCTCTCTGCCCCTCCCCCGTTCATGCTCTGTCTCTCTCTGTCCCAAAAATAAATTAAAAAAAAAAAAAAAAAAGAAGAGGAGGAAGAGTGGACTGTGGACAGGGAAAATGGTGCTGAGAGTCCCTGAGGGAAAACTGGAGACCTAGCCACTGATTCTGGATCCCCAGGTCTATTGCTCCAAAATGACCCTGAATAAGCCAAGACTTCCCAAGACTTCGTCTCCTCGTCTATAAACAGAGAGTGCCCTGAGCTCCTTCCCTGACTTCCATGCAGCCTCAATGTTGACATGCCCTGATGAGCTTCGGTGAGCTTCAAGGCAGAATGTGGGACCCAGGCCTCCTCAGCCCCGCCACCGCAGCATCACTGCACTAAGCAGTTTCAGACACACAGCCCCACCCTGCAGACAAGGTCCCCAGTATGCCCCCCAGTGGCCAGTGTCTGCAGTGCATCTGGTGCCGGAACCAGCACCACCTCTTCTTGCACCGTAGCAGGGCCCCTGCTGAGAAGAGAGTCCTGGACCTGGGTGTCCTGGGAAAGGTCGCTTTGCCTGAACGCCCTGCCACCTAGACACACCCTACTTCAGAACCAGCCCCTGGCCCTGCCCAGCATCTCAGGCCAGGCAGGAGCCCAGCCCACAGACACCAGGGTAATCCCAGAAACGGCCTTCTTGGCTGGCAAAACATCAAGTTTAGGAGGTGTGTCAGGACAGGTATGGTGTGACCAGGGCGGATCAGCAGGTGCGTGAACAAAACCTGCAAACTGGGTTTCTCTTTCTGTGCAAAAGGACCAGGAAGGTGAATCTGCTTTTAGCAGAGTGACAATGGACAACCGCTCTGACTCGAGAATTACGTTCTGCCAGCCTCTCAGGAAAATGTGCTGAGGGCTCTTTCTCCTTGACTGGAACACCACTGAAAGCCAGCTCTGGAGAAGAAAAGGTTCTGCTTGGAGACCCTGTCAGAAAAGGGCATCCATCAGGTTCCGAGAACCTGGAGAATGGACTAGGTCAGCATTTCCCAAACTGATGCCATGGAACAGCGGCCCCTAATGTTCTGAGAAAGCAAGTCTGGGAAAGGCTGCTGGCTACAGCTCTGTCTTGGAGCTCCATGGTGCCGTTCAGGGTGCTGAAGGCCTGAGAAGCCTCCCAGCAAAGAACCAATGCATTTGTCTGGCTCAGATTTGCTTGAAGCACCTGGCTGAGAGGACTGCTCTTCACCAAACACTGTGAATCTGCAGTTAAGTCTGAGGCCCCTTCCTTCCTGGCCCTGAGCCTCGGCTTCTTCCCGGCACAACGAGGCAGATGGACTGAGTGTGGCCAAGGTCCTCCCACTCTGCTGTTTTTCCTGGCACATTAAAGGCTGGCTCCCTTCCCACGTCACCCAAGGTCCTGGGCTTGGGGGAGCCTGTTGTGTGGCAAGGGCTTGGTGCCCACCAGGAAACCAGTGCCCCATATGTGGCTCTCCCTTGACCTCTGCCCTTCAGGTCCTATAGCTCAACTGAGCATCTCAGGGAGGCTAAAACCCAGAGGGGCAACACCTCACAGGGGCCACCGCAGCGTCTCACCCCTGCCTGTCAAACCTTACTCCTGGGGGGCCAGGGCTTCTGGCTTCTGGTTTGTGCTGGCACAAACACACAGGTGAGTTTCTTTGGTGTGGATCACACTGTTCTAAGTACTGAAGAGCAAACACTTACCTAACTGATCAGCTCAGGGATGGGCCTGTTTCTAATCACAGATGTAATAATCACGAGTGTGCACGCCTCCTCAAGGAAGCCCCCACACTCCAGGAGCAACTCCAAACGTACTGAGTCATCTCCCCACAACGGCAGCTCCTTCCTTGGAATCTCACACTTACCTCTCGCAAACCACACATCCCACACCCACAGCACCTCATGTCACAAATAGACCCCGACCTGTGAACAATTATTCTCACTCATCTCCCCCACCCACGAGGTCCAAATGGCTCCTGCTGCTGATAATCCCAGAGGCGGCCATGCCTGTGCCTATAGCCCGGCCATGCTCCATCCTGCCCAAGGGCAGAGCCCTGGAGGAGGAACTAGAGACTTCTATGGGTTACCCCAGAGGAGAGGGAGGCAGCTGGCAAGCCCACTCAGTTCATTTCAGAGGCATGGCCCAGTTCCACTAGTACACTGGGGCACCCAGCCTCCAGGTCCCCAAAAAGAGCCTTCAGGGTTTTGGCTGAGCATCCCACAGCAACTCAAAGCATCCTGAACAAAGCCAGGATGGGGCTGTGGACCCGGGGCACAAAGGAGGCCAATCTCATGGAAATGGCCCTTCAGTAACTGCTCAGTGAGTATAGGACACCATCACCCATTGTGAATGTTTGGCTCCCAGCCTTGGTCTCTACCCTGAGGTTGTTTCTCTGGGGATGGCTAGCTTTTCTGCCATCTCAGGCCCAGCTAACTGGAATGAAAGTCCAGAGGAGAAGCTTCCCAGAGCCCAACTGGAAGGCTGTTTCCTGCCTCTCCTAAAACCTTGCTTCCCTCACCAGCATCCCCCTCCAGTGCCCACTGTCAGGGAAAGAGGCTGGCCTAGAGCCAGGGAAATCTGCCTCCCCTCCAGCCTGTGGCTATTTATAGCCCTCTCCAAATGAGTATCCATTGAGAAAAGTTGCCCAGAAGCCTGTCTTTGGCCCTCTCTAAGGCCATTTTTCTGGGTCAAACTCACACCAGCTACAAAAGCATCTTCTACTCTGGGACTCTGCCCAAGCTTTCAGGAGGTGCAGGAATCCCTCAGGAGATCTGCGGCCAGGCCTGTTCTCTGCTACCACATCTTGAGCCAGGAAGACACAAATGCTGGTGGCTCAGGGAAACAACCAGGAAAAGAGAGTTGGTTAAAGAGGGGAAGGGAACCGAGGGAGGCATGGGAAGGTAGGTGGGGGAAGCCGGCGCAGAAAGTGGTTACCTGGGTGAGGTGAGGGTTGGGGTTGAACCCACACTGGTTGCAGACCTTGTTGTGACACTGGGTGCAGGTGTTGAAGTTTGGCTGGCTGGGGGTCGACGTGAGGTCCGAGGTCTTACATATGGGACACAGCGTGCTGCTGGGAAGGGGGGCGATCTGGGGGACGGAGTAGGGTGATGTGGGGGTGCTGCCTCTGTCCGGTGACACAGAGGGCGACCGCCCTGATCTCTGCGTCCTGCTGTCTACCTGCAGTGTCCTGCGCGGGCCATCAGCCTCCTGGCCTGCTGGGCCCTGTGCCCTCGTCTCCCGGGGGCTCTCGCGGCCGGGAGCAGTAGCAGAAGCCTGCTTCGGGGTTGGGGAAGCTGCTCTCTGGCTACCCGGGGGCTCCTTGGGGTCCAGTCTCCTGGAAACGCTGAAATGACATTGAAAATCACTATGTTAGAGACACTTCTCAGAGAAGCAGCCTGCAGGGGGCTCTATCAAGCTCGGTGACCCTGCCGAGCCCCATTCCGCTCTCCTCTTCCTGCCCAGTGGCATCATCACAGCTACCATTTGCTGAGTGCTGATTGTGTCCCGTGCTGAGCGCTGACAAGCGTCTCCCATTTGAACCCTGAGCACCAGGTCATGTGGTAGAATCTTGAGTTCCCCTCCTACATCCTGATGAAGTACAGATTCAGATTCAGCAAGTCTAGTGTGAGGTTTGCATTTTTAAGAATCTCTAAGGTGATACCTATACTGTGGTCTGCAGACCACACTTTAAGAACCAAGGCTCTAAACCTATATGTTAGAAACACCTGGAGTTATTTTTAAATTTCTGATTCTCAGATTATACCCCAGACAAATTACATCAGAATCTGTGGGGGCAGGGGCACCTGAGGTGCTGGGTTGAGCATCCAATTTCGGCTCAGGTCATGATCTCGCAGTTTGTGGGTTCGAGCCCTGCATCAGCTCTGTGCTGACAGCTCAGAGCCTGGAGCCTGCTTTGGATTCTGTGTCTCCCTCTCGTTCTGCCTCTCCCCCACTCACACTTTGTCTTTCTCTGTCTCTCAAAAATAAAAGATAAATAAAAAAGAATCTGTGGGGGCAGGACCCTGGTATTAGTATTTTTCCCTCCCCAGGTGATCCCAACATACAGCACAAGTTCAGAGCTATTGCCCTGGCAGGTCTGTTCTGGTTTGTTCCCTTCAAAGGCTGACCCCAGACAGTTGGAGATGGGTGGGGGAGGCATCCCAATGCCTACCTAGTTAATGCCATCTCCAGCAGTGACAAAGGAACCTACTTTCTGGCAGCTCACCAGCAGGCCTGATGCTAGACCAAGTCCATCGAGATGGGTGAAGTGTTACTCTTCCGCTAGTACCAGGCTGGGTGGGGTTGCGGTCCTAGGATCCAGCCCTTGAGGAACCACTGAGGAGAAATCCAATGTACCTGACCCCCATCTCCATTCTGACCTGGCGCAGCTGCAGGGAAGCCCGCAGAATTGAGTAGTTCAGTAAGGTAGAAAGTTAAGCTAAACTCAATTTCCTTATTTTCCTTTTCCCCATTTTCCTTTTCCAATTTGAAAGAAGATGAGCACAAAAAGCCAAAGGCAATGTTTTATATGGCTTCCCTGAAATTCTATCCTTGTTCCAGTGTGTATTCATCTGGGTGGATACTGGCACCCAGGAGACAGGACAGACTGGCTGAGCGCCACTGTGGAGGCTGGACCACAGCTGCCTGCAGGGAGGCCACCCTGGCGCCATCTGCCCTAGTGCCCTGTGTCCTCCTAGGGTCTGACTGACTGACAGGAGGGGATTCTGAGTTTGCTGCCCCTAGATGAAAGCCATCTGCTTGCAAAAAAGATTCAGGGGCCAACTGGTAGGATGTCTTAAAACAAGCCATTTCAGACGGGGGGGGGGGGAGGGGGCGAGGAGCCCACCTGGGGAGGCCTCCTCCAAGACTGTCTGCAATTCTTCCTCCCTTCTGAGGAACAGTGGGGGGAGAGCCACACCTTCGGTCTAATAAAGACTCTTCCAGAAAAAAGAAACACTATTACATGTCTATCAAACATTTCTTTCATCAACCAACAACAGCATATACCCACCCATCCATCCCATCTCACGGACCTGCCACTTTCGTCTTCAATAGGATCTCCAGAACCTAAGAGTCTAGCCCCCCTGGGCCATCTTGCCACCAGCTGTGAGGCCCAATATGTAGTGGCCACAGCATCTCTGGGCCACACTTGGAACCTAGGCTCCACGGCCTTCCAGCAGACTAATTTCTAGGCATGGTAAAGAAAGATTCCCACTTGGTTAATTTATAATTTCATTTTTTACTTGAATGATTTGGGGCTGGAATTTAAAAGCAGCACCTGACTGTATGTTAACTATACTGGAATTAAAATTAAAA